ACCTTTATGAAAAAGCTACTGAATTTAAAGCCAAAAGATTATAATAGTTGTAAAAAGAACCCAGAGAAAAATAGTATATGTAGCTCAATTATTTATGATATAAAAGGTGAGAAAAATGGAACTTGAGAGGGTGGGGTTGGTGGTAGGAGACAAGCTGAAATGGATATGAACCATATTTTTAAGCTTAAAAAATAATTTATTTAGATATGAATGCTGAATAGGGAGATATATTTTTGGCATATTGTTTGTAATTAATAACTCTGCTTTGCGTCACCTGTCACCAGGGTCCCTTTCTTGTCATCTTCTAACCAATACTATTCTTGATCACCATAAGATCTTAGGGTGTATTTATAATTTTATATTATTACATTTATAAACTATAAAATACAGAGATTTACTATCTATAAGTTCACATATATATATTTGTTAATGTCTCATCCTTCAAATTAGATTGAGTTTTTAGGAGAGTACAAATTGTTGGAATTAATTTAATAATTAATTCATAGAACAATTATATTTGGGTTATTTAATTGTCATACAAGTGATTTTAATTATGGGCCCATGACTTCCCATTTAGTGGTGTGGCTTGCTGAGTAGAAACCAGCCCATTAATCTTGGGGAATTATGGGAAACCCTAGGATTAACCTATAAATATATGGTTATGGTCCCCGATACACTATTCTTTTTGAGCCTCATGTTCCCATCAAACAGAGAGTATTGCCCATTTTGGTATGGGTTGCATAGTTGAGGAAGACCATAAACCACAACTTCTTGCAGATTGTGGTCAATCTATCTAATGGTTTCAGGTAATTCTAATCTCTTTATAGATTTTGGTTTTCTTCCATGCTTAGATGTTTGGCTTAGATTGTTCTACAATTTAAAATTTTCAACAAGTGGTATTAGAGCAAGTTTTGCATGGATGATTACTGGATCTTTAAGAGTTAAGTTCATTGTTCTTTTAATAACTTATTTATTTAAACAAAAAGTTATTAAAATTATTTGGATTGATAAGATGTTTGAACAATTTTCACATGATTAAAATTCTTAATTGATTGAAAATTGTTCGAATTTATCCCTGACTAATTTAGTAAAGTTTAATTTTTTTTATTAACAAATTAGTTGTGATGGTGAATCTTTAGTTTTCATTAAAAGAAAAATTAAAGAAATTGCGGCACTCCAATAAGGTGTCGTTTGAAGATTACGGCTGGTGCATGGAGATAATGCCCTAGCACCAACCTTTTTTAAATGTTGCAGTGCGCAAACTTACAGATGTTTTTTTTTTGTGGCTATTTATTTAATTTTTAATAATTATTTATTTAGTTATCAATTTATATTCTGTTTTGAATATTCTGGGTGAATTTAAAGTCTATATGCTTCCGTTTGCAGTATTTATATCAAGAATGAAAGGCAATTTTTGATAACTCTTAATTGGATCTAAAGAGTTATAAGGTGTTAAAAAAAAAAAGTTGCATGCTCACTCATCATAATCATATTAATTAGAGATCATAAGGCTATTTGATTTTGATAATTTGAGTTGCCATCTAGATCCACCTTTGAGACTATATTCACTAATATGTTAAAAGATACTACTATCTCGTGGTGGAGAATCACTTTAGTCCCTTTCACCACTAAAGTTTGTGTTTATAGCATTTTGTATGTGGCAACGAACTTAAGAATATGGTTATCAAATTCTGTCATTAGGTTATTTTGACAAAGATTTGTTTTTTTTCCGTATTACAGCAACAAAAGTTTTTCTATGAATTTTTAAGCTTTAGTTGATAAAGAAAATTCAGAGTATTTTTTGTTTAAAGAAATGCAACTTCATCATTGCGGATCCGCTCATTAAGAATTTTCACAAAAGTTTTATGAGCATAATGCTCATATAGATGTGAAAATTATGGTATGTCAGTTGAGTGGGGGTTTGTATTTTCTTAAATTAGACATGTAGATTTCTTTTCTGCAGAATAAAGAAGATGATTTATTTTGTTACTCTAAATGATTTTCTTTCTAAATGTAATTTAACATAAAGCTAGAAAGCATAAATTTGGATCACTTTAAAGAATAAAGTTGGACCAGTTGAGAATAGACATGTTTAGATCTCATTACATGTAATTCTCATGCTACTCTTCCACACTTGATCCATGTCATTGAGTATATTTGGTGTGGTGATCATTGAATGTTGAGTCGTGATTATACATGTGACAACAGCCGCTTTGGTTCTTAATCGATATACGAGATGGACCGGATTGTTATTAAAGGGAAGTTTATTTTAATAGCATTGAGATGTGCTCTAAAAAAACTAAATTAATATAATTGCTAATAAAGAAAATTGTTACCCAAGTGGGAGATTGTTGGAATTAATTTAATAATTAATTCATATGTGGGTAACAAATTAAAGAGCAATTATATTTGGGCTATTTAATGGGCAAGTGATTTTAATTATGGGCCCATGACTTCCCATTTAGTGGTGTGGCTTGCTGAGTAGAAACCAGCCCATTAATCCTAGGGGATTATGGGAAACCCTAGGATTAACCTATAAATATATGGTATGGTCCCATACACTATGCTTTTTGAGCCTCCTGTTCCCCATCAAATAGAGAGTATTGCCCATATTTGGTCTGGGTTGCATAGTTGAGGAAGACCATAAACCACAACTTCTTGCAGATCGTGGTCAATCTATCTAATGGTTTCAGGTAATTCTAATCTCTTTATAAATTTTGGTTTTCTTCCATGCTTAGATCTTTGGCCTTGATTGTTCTAGAATTTTATGGCTTTTATTTTAGAATAATCATGAATTAGGATTTGTTTAAAATTTTCAACACAAACAGTTTGATTTGATTGAATTATTTAAAGCTATCCATTTTTTTCCCTTTTAAGATGATTCATGCAAAATCATTTTATTCTTAGAAATTGAAAGTTTAAATCATCCTTAACTTTTGGATCGTTTTATTTTAATCTCCAAGCTCTAGTTTATGAATTTAAAAAATAAATATATTATTGATACTTGAATTTTTAAATTTCTATTTTGGTTCATAATTTTAAAAAATTAACCATTTTTTATCATTGCTTAATATTAATTTACCCAATATTTTTCTTCAATCTAAATACATATCCATGTTAATACATCAGTGCATATGTTGGAAGTGAGACTAACAACTTGTTAAAATTAAAGTAAAAAGTGAAGTAAAATAAACCTTTTAAGGTGTTAAGAATCCCACGTTGAAAAGAAAAGGGACCTTGCATAGGTTTATATATAATAGACATGGGCTACCTTTCTCATTGTCAATTGGTTTTGATATGTAACTCATGAATATTAATATAAGGTTCATAAGACAGAAATAGAAATGGAAGGAATCGGATAAATTTGATTTGATTGGATGTTATCTACACCTATTGTATTATTTTTTTGAATCATTATGCAAAACTTGTATCTATGAAGTCACCCATGCGCTCGAACGACCTTTAATGGAATGAGTACTCGAGACTGCCTCACCCTAACAGACACCGGTGGAATCAACCCTAAGACACCCCTTTATTCTTTGGCATTGTGTTTGTGATAAAAAAATCAAGTTATCGTGATCACAAATAAACTACCAAGTCCCTCTTCTTGTAGTTTGTTGAACCGAAGCTCAAACTTTATTTTTCTATGGGCAATACATGGACGTACAAATTGATACTTTTTGAAGCCTTGGATTGAAAACGAAATCCTTTAGGAGACTTTAACCTTATTACTACATGGTTATTGCGTACCCAAGCAACAAGCAAATCACTGGTAAGTTGTGGAATCGATCCATCAATGACATTGAGTTTGTTCTTGATAGAAAGAGCAATGATCATCGAATGACTCCATGACGTATAATTATCATCCGTGAGAGGCTCAGTGACAAGAAAAATATTAGAAGTGTCGGTATGATGGAGAAATACGAACTCTGTGAAGATTCCGAAGAAATTACCGACGAAATCGATGAAGAATTTGGTGCGAGAGATTAAAAGTTGTTTGATACCGTAATAAGCGAAAAGAGAGGTAAATAATTTGTACCCTCTTGCATTAATTCTCCTATTGTAATTGCTTATATACAAGAAAGTAAATCATAACATAATAAATAACTACTAACTAAACGAGTAGATATATCTAACTTCCTATATCTAATACAAACTTCTACGCATGATCCTTAATACAACATGTGGAGGTGAGAGATCGAACTCACAACCTCCTAATTGGAGATATATGTCAATTATTACGCCCACTTTGACACTTCTCATGTCTGATATTAAACTATAAGCATGACACTCATGTTAGATTTTTATACTAAGAATGAGTATGCAGATGCAATCCTAGATAGTAATAATACTTGCAAGTCAAGTGCCTTCATCACCAATCTGCATTTGTATGAAGAGTGTAGATACATTTTTTTGTCTGACTTATTTTTTATTTTATATTTTTCATTTTCATTTAACTATTATTATTATGCCTTGGAAAAAAAATGACAAAAAAGATTTAAGAAAAATAAATTAAATGATGAAAGTAAAATTTAAATATATCTAACTAATTTTCACGCAGAATTTCCCTGTCCAAGAAAAAACCAACCAAACCAATGGAAAATGACTGGTGGTTGGAATTCGGTTTCGGAGTAGTTCGATTTTTTATGTCGGTTCAGCAAGCTATATAAACCAAGCATAATGGATCAAAGTTGTTCCGGCTTATCCAAACTGATTAAAACCCGACCCGACCGATTCTCACTGCACGTCCCACCCATGCCCATATGCAGGATTTATTTAAAATTAAATCCAAGCCCAGCCCATTTGTAGTTTGCACAATCGTACACTACCCGTACCCGCTGCCGTACGTCTCTCTGCACATTCCCTTCTCTCAGGCTTCTTCATGTTTTAATTCCTCGTGTTTGTGGGATGAGATATACCAAAAATATACTTATATTGAATAAAAGATTAAATATACATTTAAAAAACAAATTAAATGAAGCTCAGCTATTTGTCACCGGAATAGAAAGAAACATTTGCATTGCCATTCTTGAAGACCAGAACAATGTGTTCAATTTGTAGCTGACCTGCTGCTGTAAATGTAATATTTGGAACTGTACAAGAAGCCCAGAAATCCTAACAAGTTAAGCCCACCCAACAGAAAATAGAAGTAATCAAGATGTGCCTTGTTCAGATTGTTGGCAAACCAACCATCTTGGCCATCAATCTTAGTAGCTTTGTCAATCACAGACACCAAAAAGCTGCTCACAAGACCTCCCATTCCAAATAAACTGGCATAGAGAGCAAGCCCCATACTCTTCAAATCCTTTGGGACTTCTTCATAGAAAAACTCCTGAAGACCAACAACTGTGAAAACGTTTGCAACTCCAAGCAACGCGTATTGAGGAGCCAGCCACCAGAAACTCATTGGAATGGTAATTTCAGGCAGATCAACCAGCCCATGTTGGCCAGCAGTTGTTAGCCTCTTTATTTCAACTAGCGCTGCTATCACCATTGAACTAGCCGAGAAAACCATCCCAACTCCAATCCGCTGCAGCTTCGTGATACCAATGGGATTTCTTGTTAAAGCTCTTACCATTGGAACAAATAAAAGATCATAGATGGACACAAACACAACACTGACAAGGAGTTCGACGGACTGAAGTGAAGCAGCAGGCACGGTGAAGCCCGACATAACCGATCTATCTATCGTAGCCCCTTGCTTCGTGAAGAAGGTGCCTGTCTGTGCAAGCACAACAGCAAAAACAAGTGTTGTAATCCAAATTGGAATAACCCTGAGAATTGCCTTTGCTTCTTCAACCTCATCCTTCGTGCAAGCAGTCCTTCCATGGTTCCAATCATTCGGAACAAAGCAAGCTTTGTTAAGAAATCTGCCAATTTCCACAAACCAATGTCAGTAAGCAAACCACAACGCAGGCTATTGTACAATTGAAAATTTCAGTTGTGGAGAAAGTCCCATATTCTTACTTGAACTGTTGAGATGAAACTATTGTATTCCCATTCTCTTCAATTTTGATTGGTGGTGGAGGAGTTCGCCGGTTCCTAATTGCAGCAACAAAAACTCGACCAATTCTTAGAAATGGATTCTTTCCACGCTGTGTAATGCTATATCGATATGTCCTGGTTCCGAGCACAAACACAAGGAATGCAATCACCATTGCAGCACAAGGAATTCCAAATCCAAGGCTCCAACTGAGGTTTTCCTGTACATAGATGACTACAGAGATGGTTACAAAGGAACCCCCACACAAGCCAAAATACCACCAGTTGAAGAAGGAGCTCTTGGCTCTACACTCCTCCGGATCCTCCCCATCAAACTGGTCAGCTCCAAAAGCCTGGACGCAAGGCTTGTGCCCACCCTGCCCCACTGCCACTAAATACAGAGACACAAAGAAGAAGACTTTGTGAAGCTGGGGAGTGGAACAAGATGTGGTTTCGGTGGAATTTTGGCAGCCGGAAGTGGCTGTGGAAAGGGATTCTGAGAGAGTAATCAATCCTAGCCCCTATATGGAACATGAGGGTGGTCAAACTACGAAATCAGCTTACTAGTGAAACGCATAAACCTACCTGAAATTAACCCATTGGCACAAAACTAAATTGACCAAAATCCCAAAGAGTTGTTGAAATTGAACTAAGTTTTAAATGGGGACATAAATTTGGGAGGGAAAGGCAGAGAGAGACCAAGACGTAAAGAGCAGAAGCAAAAACAATGGTCCGGTAGCGTCCGAAGAAGGAATCGGCAAGGAGTGCTCCGAGGAGAGTGAGGAGCATTGAGAGGCCGGACCAGATGTTGGCATTCTCGGCGGCCGCAGCCACAGACTGGCCCAGTTGCCCCGTCAAGTAGGTTATAAGGTTGGAGCTTATTCCGTAGTACGCGAATCTCTCCGCCACTTCCAATCCTAAATCAACCATTGAATAATAAAAAATGAGTCCACACATTCACGTTCGTATTCAGATTAAGATTAAGATTGAGAATGAGGAGCTTAATTTACCTATTATGAACCGCGCCGACCTCCAACCACCGGACGAGGAGCGGAGGACCGGGTGGCCTCTGTAATCGACGGCACCGCGCACGGTGTCTGCGTCTCTCAGCAGCGTAATATGGGCGGCCATGATTGATTGGTTGTTATTGTTATTGTTATTGTGGTTGAACAACTTATTTATACGATTCTGGAAGGCGAAGGTGATCTGCATCCGCTGCTACATCACTTTCAAGTTTCAAAAAAAGAAAATACAATTCAAATAAGTAACACTCTTTTGGTTCCATCTTCCATTTTGAAATCTCCCATTGAAAACAACGAAGCAACTGCAACTATTCTTGTCTCTTGCCCCACAACTGAACTTGGCTTGTGTATTATATTACCAAAAGGAAATTTTAAAAGGGTTACCCAAACGGGAAATTGCCAAAAATAAGCTACTTTTAAAAGAGTTAAGATACTTTTAGGGATTACTTTCTAGTTTACATGATGTTAGGATTGAGGATTCTAACTCATTCTCAACTTAGTTGGCCTCAAATTATTACTCAAAAACAGCACGGCCAAACTCACTTAGCAGAGTCTTGTGTTTTTAATAAAAGTTGCTATCTTCGAATATGTGCTGCTTCCTAATCAAGAGATAAGAGAGCACCCTTTCTCCTAAAGTTACTGAGTCATGTCGCTAAGTTAGTCAATCAAGATTCGTCATCAAGAGAGGGGAGAGCCATCAACTTTAGGACAAGCCTATCTCGTCATTCACACAATTTCCCAATTCATCATACCACGAAGGAATATTCTAGGGTGGGTAAGGAAGGGACCAAAATGACTCAAATTATTTTTAGATTTAGAAAATTTATCCAAAATTTCAAAATAAAATTTTCTAACTTGCCGGTAAAAGCAAAAATACGAAACTACCCTTAATATACTTGGTACATTTGTATTAAAACTCTCACGTGTTGTTGAGAACTTGCCCATAGTTTTAACCCCCCATCACGCCTCACACTCTTTCTCCAATGGCTATTCAACTACTCTCATCTCTTAGTTATTAACCTTCCATTGCTTTCGGTGATTGGGGCGACAATGGTGGGCAAACTCCTAGACGCCTAAGGCAGCAAAAGCGGCAGACTCCAACAATAGTCGAAAACAATGTTGAATGAATTTGGAGTTTGATGTCTATTTGGTCACTTAAGTGTTAAAATGGACACTTTAGTCCTTGACTTTAGACAAATATTCTAAATATTCCTGAAGTGTTAAAATGGACACTTTAGTCCTTGACTTTAGACAAATATTCTAAATATTCCTGAAGTCATTTAACCTTAGTTGACTTAAGATAATGTTGATCGGACAATTAATATGGACTTTGATGACATGGCAAAAGTATCTTAATTTAATAATTCTTTTTGGTCATTAGCCGGTTGATGTGGCCTTCTCATTTCCGTCTCCCTCCTCCTGTTTCCCTCCTCCTGTTTCCCTCCTTTCTTCTTTAGCAACAAGCCCCTCATGGCCCAAAACAAGCCCCTCATTGCCCGAATTCGTCGTTCGCTGACCGTCGCCTGCCGTGGCATTGCTCGCCAACCACTCCACACCAAAACTAATTTATGCTGTTTTCACTTTACAAAATTATATTTAATCTTCTTTACTAACGTACATCTTATTTTGTTATTAAAAAATTATAGTTATATTTTAGGAGTAAAAATATTTATAAATTTTTTTTCATGAAAATAAAACTGTTATATTGAAAATTATAAATTTTATGATGGTTGGCTAGAAATTCTAATGGACTCATAAAAAATATTGAATATTTTATTTTGAGTTGTATATTTTTATCTAATATTTATCTCAAAGATTATGTAAATTTGTTAAAAACATAAGATAATATATTTAAATTACTGTTACTTACAAAATAATAGAAAATATTTTTAAAAACGTACTAAATTTCTAATAAATTTCAATTTAGAGGATATTTGAGTTATCGAATTAAAATTAAAACATGCATATCATTTCAAATAAACAAAAACATAACAATACTAATTATAAAAAAAAATAACAAATACAAAAAAAATACACAATTATATAGCAATTACAAAATTTTAAAAAATAATAGTAACAATGAAAAAATAAAAGAACTAAATCATTACCCGCATTATTGGATATAGATTTACTTTGTTAGACAAACATCATTATTCAATTTCATTGAACTAAAATTGTTCCTGTTATGAGTAAAGTAAAGCAAGACTAAAATCCGACAAACCAAACTCGGATATCAAGCAGAAGTATAAGAACTCAAAGGCTGAGATCAAGAAGTGGACCCAAGCCAAGAACAAAAGAACGAGGCCAATCGATAGACTGGCTGGCCAGTTTGCCCAAGCCATGGTCGACCTGACCACAAAAACGACTGGTCGGCTCGACCAAGCCTCAAAGCCGACCAACATGGCCAAGACCATATCCCAAGCGCCTGAGAGCTTGGGCTCGGTGCCTTGGTACTAGGTCGATGCTGAGCAGCTCGTTGATCCAATCGATTCTCAATCTTCTCTACAATCCATAGCATATCAAAGCCCTGTCAAAAAGGTCCAAAAAAACCCAACTATATGAAAAGAAGAGGATATATCTTATCTTATCTAAGAAATTTAAAAGGACAAGATATTATGATCACCTTAGGTTTCCCCTATGTATATGAGAAATATTTTATTGACTTAGGACTTTCCGCTCTATAAATAGAGGTAAAATAATCATAATCGAGGTAGGCTATGAAACTCTATTGTTTACTCCGCTTCACACAGAATCCCGTTTATGAATTAAGCATGGGAATGTATATAGCTAGCAACACAATGTGTAATATTTCTATTTTGTAGGTTTCATCGAATTTCCTTCTATTTTAGAAAGTTGGTATAAATTTGGTAATTTCAATAGGCTAAATTTTTGCATCAATAGTATATATCCAAACTTACCAATCAAGATATAACTTTAGTATAAGAATTTTATACCAACTAGAACATATCATGTATGTCTTAAATTTGCTTTCAAGATTATAGAGATTTTGAGAGCAAGAAACTGAGACATAACTAAAAAGAAAAAAGAATAGTGAGCTAGTATTGTAAAAAAAAATGGTAGAAGAAAAACTTTTTATATTAATAGATGAATATAAAATTACAAATTTTTAAAATCTAAAACGTTTCAAATCCTATTATTAATTATTCTCAGAGAAAATCATTAAATTTTTCATAAATTAAAGAATAACATTTTTCTTATTATTTTAGATTTCATGTAATTGTTACCGTGATAATTAATTATTTATTATTTATTGATTATTAATTAATTAAAGAAAAAGTGTAATGATAAAAAAAAAATATTCTTGCAACCACTTCCATTTCTAATACATTTACATTTTATAGATTATACATCATTGTGGTGGGTTGCAAAAATATTTTATATATTTTAAAATTTCAAATATAGCAAAATATTTAAATTTTTATTTTCGGAATTTTTATTATTCCATATCTGATATATATCTGATGTATATCTATATCTGATATACATCTAATTTATATATGATATAGATCTGATGTATATTATATATCAAATCTATATCTGATATAGATCCGATGTAAATTTGTATATGATATACATTCAATCTATATCTAATGTACATATGATGTAACTCTGATATACTTCCGATATACATTTGATGTATCTCTAATATATAGTATCAGATGTACCCATGATATATGTTATCAGATATACCATTGATATACATCAAATGTACATATTATACATATAATATATATATATATATATATATATATATATATATGATGTATTTCTAATTTATGATAAATTAAATATATTTCCAATTGATATATTAAATATATTTGAAATTGATATACTAAATATAAGGTATATCAAATGTTTAATTTTTAGTGGTATATCAGCTGTTTAAATTCTAGTTTACCATTTCAATTTGTTGATTAATATACTAATATTATCAATAATGTTGATTACTATATCACTACTATTTATTCAATATTAATATTAATTAGATATTAAATCTAAGAGATCAACGGTTTAAATTTATAAAGTATATCAAAATTTAACTTGTCTTTTTGGACGTGCATAGTCCACGTAAACCTTTTATATAATAACTTTATATTTCAAAAATAAAAAATAAAAAATTTTGCACCATTGTTTTCATCTGAAAAAAAATATTAGATATAATAGTATTATATCAGCACATATGTATCATAGTTATATTAGTAGATATAATGGTTATATCATAGGTATATAAGTGGTAAATTAGAAGCATATTAAGTATATATCAAATATATATCAGTGTTATATTAGTGGCAAATCATATAATCATATAAGAAGTTATATCAGTAGATACCATTGTTATATCAGTGATATATCATTTGTGGTATATCATTTGTCTATCAATGGTAAATTAGATACATATCACATATATATGTGTTGTATCAGCATGGTAAATCAAGAATTATCATACGTATATCAGTAGTAAGACAGGTTAGAAGTTGAGTAGATATCATGGTTATTACAAAAGTAAATCAATTGTATATCATTATTATATCAGTGGTATATCAGAGATATATATTAAATATATTAAAGGGTAAATTTGTAATTTTCTAATTGGACCTCCGTTTTTTCTGAAAAAAATTCTATATTTGAAAAAACTAAATGTGGTTGCTATTTTACTTATTTTACTAAATTTTTTGCCATATTTGTAAGTGCCCCTAGAATATTAGCACCTAAAAGTTTAGGCATAAGATAATTTCTTAACTCTGCTTCTTTCATTAACCTCAATATAGTTCGACAATTTTAATTTACATGTGGATAAATGAGAGGATATCAATTAATGAGGTGTCAATTAGTATCCCATGAAAATTTCTCCTCCTCTTGTATGAAAATATTTCATATCTCCTCCATTTACGTGTCTTGTGTAAAATGTATCCATTATATAAATAAAAAATACGTATTTTCTAGGTGTGGTCTACCTATTTAAACTACATTTCTCTTACTAATTATGTGACTGTTTAATTTTTTTTCATTTTTCTTTATTTCTTGTTATTTAAATATTTTTTAGACATCTTCGCTTGGTACTTTCACCTTCTCAATTTTTGATTGGGATTATTACACTCATACTTTATTTAGACACTATAATTATATAAAGAATTGAATTGTATAAAATTTACACTTTTGTCATGAAACAGTCCCATTTAAAATGGTACCCATCACCCAATTTACTAATATATCTTTTTGTATCTCACCTCATTATTAATTAATTTTTAAAATCCAAAATTGGTTAATTGGAGGTTACATTTTAAATCCCTTAAATTTTGCTTAGGCTTTCCACGAGTAAAAAATATCAAATCCCCAAAATCTTCCATTATTGAAAAAATTCGAAAACTCATTCCTCCGGTTTTTCTTCTTTCTCTATCGTTATGTTTCCGTTCATTCTTTCGTCTCCGACCGTCGTCTACGTTCCTTCATCTCCGGCCACCGTCGTCGTTCTTCTTCGTTGCCGGAACCATCCGTCTAGCTTCTCCTCGTCTCCGGCCGCCCATCCATTGTTTCCATCCATTGATCCCGATGTTTCTTTTTTGTCGCCAACCGTCCGTCGACCATTTGAGCTCTCCGTTTATCCCAACCATCATCTAGTCGCCGACCAGAAGATTTGTAGGTTATTTGCTTTGTTTGTTAATTGTAGAGAGATATAGTCGTATATACTTTATAGCCAGATATAGATTATATCTTCATATAAGTGTATGTTATAATGACTATAGTTTATATATAAGTGTATGTTATGATGACCATAGTTTATATCACCATAGTTAAGTGTATGTTTTAATAGCTATAGTTTATATCACCATTAAGTGTATGTTGCTTAAGTTTATAGCCGGATATAGTTTATATTTTCGTATAAATGAAAAGGTAGCCGGATATAGTTTATATCTCCATATAAATATATATATCTCTCTCCATATAAGTGTATATTATAATGATTATATTATTGAAATTCGACCAATATTTGTAATGAAATTAAAAAGTATTTTGTAATAAATTTCATTATTTAGTAGAATATATTAAAGAGTAAATTTGGGAATTATCATAATAATGGAATATTTTGTAATAAATTTTCTTTAGTATAATATATTAAGGAGTAAATTAGGGGATTATGAGAATGATTGATTTAGGTCCCACAATAATTTAATGTTTATAAAATCAAATTTGGAATATTAATCTTTTGCATTTAAATAAAAGACTAATTATAATAAATATAAATGCAATAAATAAGGGTAAAATCAAAATTAAAATAAAATCCTACAGGTATAAAATTAGAAAATTTTAGACTAAGTTTCTAAAACAGCCCTCCAATGACATTATTTGTTTTTCATTGGCAAAAATACACATGTTTCTATGTGAGGTAGACATATTTGAAAGTAAAAATGAACCATATTCTATATTCTCTTTTTTAATGGTATACTCCCTCTCTTAATAATGGCTAAATATGACTATTTATTTAAGATAGTGCCTTAATTTAATGTTGTGTTAAGTATCCACTTTTAAAATTTTTGTATTTTTTTTAGTTTAGAGATGCTTACAATTTATTAATGCATAAAGATAATAAATTCTTTCTTTTAACTATAAGAATATAAGAAGGCAAATTCAAATTTTCCAATTCCCTTATCAAATTTTCATAAAAAGATTTATGGAAAAAATAAGCCTGAACACATTCAATTTCATCTACTTTTAAGTATTGCAACAATTACTTTAAATTTGTACAAATATTATAATTTTAGTATTCTTCTACAGTTTCAATAAATTGTACGACTTGATAGGACTTCAAAGTAAAAGCTTTTTTTTCTTCTTTTTTATTTTTTGGCGGAACATTTTCATTTGATATCTTCTGTTGTGGATTGGGGGCGGAAAAAGTGGTGGCGGCAGAATGGAGACTCAGATTCCTCTGTTGGATGAGACGGTGGAGGGCGCAGTTGATTACCAAGGCCGTCCTGTCCACCGATCCAATTCCGGCGGTTGGAGATCCGCCGCACTCATCATAGGTAAATTCCCACGAGATTCTGTTTCCTCAATTCCGAACTCCCACTCATCATTCATCGTTGATTTCATTTGATTTAGGAGTGGAGGTTGCTGAAAGATTTGCCTACTATGGAGTTTCCTCCAACCTCATAAACTTCTTAACGGACCAGCTCGGACAGTCGACGGCCATGGCTGCGGCCAATGTCAACGCCTGGTCCGGTGCCGCGTCGCTGCTACCTCTTCTTGGGGCCTTTCTCGCCGACTCCTTCCTCGGACGATTCCGCACTATCCTTCTTTCCTCTGCCCTCTACGTCTTGGTTCGTTTCTTCTTTCCATTCCCCAACTTTGATCTCAGATCAGCTTTGTCTAAACTTGGATGGAGCTCTTATTCATGAACACTCCAAAACCATGCTCAAATTGACGTGTTTAACATTTTTCTTTCTAAGTTCAGGGACTTGGGTTGCTGACTCTGTCTGCAACATTTCCTTCTCCCAACATTTCTGCCTGCCAAGGCCAACACACCCAAAAAGCCGTACCATGTTCCCCCAGTGATGCCCAAGTAATTTTATTTTTCTCCTCCTTGTATCTGGTGGCAGTTGCTCAAGGAGGACACAAACCTTGCGTCCAGGCCTTCGGAGCCGATCAATTTGACGGCCAACATCCAGAAGAAACCAAAGCTAAAAGCTCTTTCTTTAACTGGTGGTACTTTTGCATCTCTCTGGCCACTTTTGCAACTGTTAATATCTTGAACTATGTGCAAGATAATCTTAGTTGGGTTCTTGGGTTTGGAATTCCTTTCATTGCAATGGTTCTTGCACTGCTAGTTTTCTTGCTGGGGACTAGGAGGTATAGGTACAGCAACACAGGAGACGAGGAAAACCCATTTGTAAGGATCGGACGGGTGTTCATCACAGCACTGAGAAATTGGCGTCTGACTTCTTCAGAGATAGCTCATGAAGAGGAAATTCGTGGCCTTTTACCTCACCATAGCTCTCGACAGTTCAGGTAAATTGTAAGATAAAAGAAGGGTAAAATGTATGCTCCTTTTACACTAAATTATTGCTGCTTCTCTCAGAAATCCACTCCTTATATTTATATGATATGAATTATAATATAAAATGTCTTTGTTTTATGTGCCATTTAGTTTTGCTCGTATTGTTATACTTCTTTTCATAACTTTAGATTCTCTAATATGGCAGGTTCCTCGACAGAGCTTTAGTTGTACCTAAAAGTTCAAAAGAAGGCGGTCGTGCATGTAGTGTCAGTGAAGTTGCGGAAGCAAAAGCAGTACTTAGGCTTGGTCCTATATGGGTTACATGCTTAGCATATGCTGTTGTGTTCTCTCAGTCATCAACTTTCTTTACAAAACAAGGAGTCACAATGGACAGATTAATAGTTTCTGGATTTGAAATACCAGCTGCTTCACTTCAATCCTTCATCAGTCTGTCTATTGTCATTTCCCTACCGATATATGATCGCGTACTCATCCCGATAGCTAGAAATTTCACTGGGAAACCTTCTGGAATTACAATGCTACAGAGGATTGGAATTGGGATGCTGTTATCTGCCCTTTCCATGATCATCGCTGCATCAATCGAGTTAAAAAGGCTCAAAACAGCTGAAGAATATGGTTTGGTTGATCTGCCTAAGGCAACGGTTCCTCTGAGTATATGGTGGCTGGTTCCTCAGTATGTACTGTTTGGAGTTGCAGATGTTTTCACCATGGTTGGGTTGCAGGAGTTTTTCTACGACCAGGTTCCGAGTGGACTAAGAAGCATCGGTCTCTCCCTGTATCTGAGTATTTTTGGGGTTGGCAGCTTTTTAAGCAGCTTTATCATCTCTGCAATTGTAAACTTAACCAGTGGGGATGGCAAAGAAAGTTGGCTTGACAACAATCTCAACAAAGCTCATCTTGATTACTTCTACTGGCTACTTTCTGGGCTCAGTACTATCGGATTGGCCGCTTTCCTATGTTTTGCAAGAACTTACATCTACAATAAGGGGAACCCCACATGAATTATACTGTCTAGGAGTGTTGTAATTTATAGTGAGTGGGATTGGAAATGTATTGTTATGTATCAAAATGGATCTATTTGAAACTTTATCTTACCGATTATCATCTGTCGAATTCTAGTTTTAGTGTCGTCTACAGATTTTGAGTGGCAGACTTGACATTCCATTTTGGTTAAGATATTTAGAAGCCTGCATATTGTATGAAGTTATAGAACTCTGTCTCAACACAAACCTAAACCAATCCTCGTTTGTTTTTCTAATAGAGAACTGTTTTTACTTTGAGAAGAGAGTAGGAATTCCAGCATACCCATAATGGTTTACACACAAACTTGCAGTCCTTGGGAGAGTGAAGGAGAAATTTCTGACCAAAGGCATCTGGTTCCACTTCAATCTAGTGTAAAATGGCTGGAGATTCCTCCTCTCCAGCTTAAAAACAAAACCATAACAAGCCATTGAAGTCTGCAGTATGACTGAACTGAAGCTTTCCATGATTTACATTTTATAGCTCATTATTCTGACGTAAAGAAGCTTAAGAATGAGGAGCTGACCAATCTGATCCCAAAATTATTCATAGACATGAATAAACGTTCACTCTCATTTTTCATACTCTTCGTTGGTAAGTAGAATGTGGTGAATGGTTGATTTTGATGGAATAAAGTATTTGTATTCCAATATATCAAAAGTAAGAAATACATAGCCTTCTTCTATAGGAAAGACTCGATACATACAAGGGATTTAAATAGGAATAGAATAATCATTAATATTTACAACTAATTACAACGAATATTCACAAATAAACCAACACTCCTCCTCAAGCTGGTTTAAAGATATATTCTATTGCCCACTTGACAATCATCATGTCAAATTGTACTTTAGGTAGTCCTTTTGTCAACACATATTGTTGGGAGATCAGGGACACAGATCACACCGGTGTCCACTTTTTTTCCTTTATGAAATGTTTTTCAATTTCAATTTGCTTAGTCCTAAACCGTAAGGGTTGGGTTGGGTTGGATTAGGTAAATTCTTAGTTTGGATTGTGTTGAAATTTTCTAGAACCGACCGTTTCGGTTCGGTTCACAGGTTTATAAACAAGATTTTCGGTTCAACTCGAACCGAACCGAATATATATATACATGGGATATTGACTCAAATGACCCCAAAAGAATATTTTGCTCAAATAATTCACCCTTAAAAAATGTTTTAGATGACCCATTGGATTATTTTAATTAAATAAAAAATAAACGAAATTACATTTGTACCCTTGCCTCCAAACCGTTGGCCTCCCCCCGTTTCCCCCTCTTTCTCTTCCTCTCTTTTTCTGTTTTTTTCCTCCCCTGCTTCTTCCTCTGTTCTCGAACGAAAGTGCCATTGACCAAAGACGAAAGCTCTTTTCTTTGCTGTGAATTCGTGTTGGCATTCGATTTTGGAGGTAAGTTGAATTCGCTAGTTTGTGTGGGTTTGTCCATTTCAGCATTTAACCGTTTTGTTTTCAAATATTGTCGATTTCATTGTTTTTAGGGTTTAGTTTCCATCGATTTAAACCTTTCTATTCTCATCGTGGTTATCTGTTAGAGTTAGAGGTTTTGTTATTGTTTTGTAAATTTTGAGTTTGAAGTGGTGGGAGGTTGAAGAAGGTGAAGAATCGGGGTGATTTAGGGTGAAATGGGGTAGGGGCTGTGAAATTTCAAAGTTTTGAAGGGGGCGTTTGAGTTCTGGAAAAACTCCTGGGGACAATTTCGGGCAGGGAAGACCGATGTTTCAAATTTCTTAGGGGTTCCCCGTGAAACACGTCGTCCGAAATTTTTCGGTCACGATTTCGCCAGAAATGAGGCTCGAGGAATGTGGTAATATTGACCCTGAGGAATTTCGTTTGCTGTTTAATTCTTGGGAACAATTTCGCCCGAGGTCGACCCCAAGGAATTTTACAGCAATGCAAAGATGGTTTTTTTTTATATGTCAACTTTTTACTTGGTTGTTTCTGGATTATTTCTGTCTTATTATTGTGTTGGTGTTGTTTTTTCTTGACTCATTTCCAAGTGTTGTAAAATGGAAATGATACCATCCTGCAATCTACGCCTCTGCCAACCTAACATGTCTATCGTACATAGTGAAGACAGACAATGATATTAAGACAAAACTCACCCTCAAACAACTTGCTATGTTTAGGAAAATTATTGTTGGCCACCTCCTTGACGTGGACCTCGTATTTAACGGGCCATTGATACACATTATTTTACTTAGGGAGGTTGAGGAGAGTACACCAGACACTATTAGCTTCAACCTTTTTAGGACTAATGTGTCTTTTGGTCGGAGAGAGTTTAACATCATTAGCGGCCTAAAGTATTCTAGGAGTCTAGTTAGGAAAGACACATTTCCTCAAAGACTTAGGACCCTATACTTCAACGATACACAGACCCTATACGATTCGAGGATGATTTTGATGCGGTTAAGGTGTCAAATAGGTGCATTTCGTAGAGTTAGTTCTGTTGGGGCGAGAGAGAAGCCTGAAGTTTGACCATACTTTGCTGGGAATAGTCGACGACTGGGAAGCCTGCTGCAACCACGATTGGGGATCGTTGTCATTCAAGAAGTCAATAAATAGTCTGCAGCGTGGACCATCCAAGAAGTCGATGGAGGGAGGGTTGAGGAAATCATATAGTCTCTATGATTTCCCATGGGCGTTCCAGGTACGGACATAAATAATATATTCTTTGCTATTTTTGTTTTCTATTGTGGTTTATAACATTCATCGTGTATTTGTACAGGTGTGGGCGTACGAGACTATATCTTCTTTATCGGGACGTGTTACGACTAAAGTAAGTCTGGACCCCGTGCAACGCATCCTCTAGTGGAGGTGTGGCCATTCGACTGCATATCATGTGCTGGTCAGAGAGATTTTTTGATCCTCTACTGTAAGTTAAATCTACGTTATCATTATTTGTTAACTAATTTTCATCTTCACCCCATCGACAAGTTATCATTTGTGCAGGTAAGAACGCGAACATTAGACAAAACCAATGCTAGACGAGCTTCCTGAATAGGTCCTTCGACCCACCCGAACCAGAAGACGACGAAGTTATGATCAAAGGTTTGCATGGAAGCGATGCTGCAGAACCATCCATAGCACGTGAAAGAATTGAGAATGTCGCTGGGGGAAAAGGTGTGAATGTCTATCAGGGTGAGAAAGAGAATGCAACTAAGGTGAATAAGGGTGGGGAGGATAAGGGTGATGACATCAATGTGGAGTCTGAGGAGAATGATCGGAGGGGAATAAGAGTGAGAAGAAGTTATGCATGTCCAGTGTGCGTCTTAGGAGAGTGGAAATGAAGGGATGTGAATCCCGAAGCGGAAGCGGACTTTCGTTGCTGATTTTCGGGATACAAAATCGAATTTTACAGAGAAAAATACAGAGAAAACTTTACCTTTGAAGAACGTTTCTTCAACTAGTTTTCCTCGAACACCACCACTATTTCTTCCTCGCTATCCTCTTGGGTCTCGGGATCGTGCTGGTGGGAGCAAAAATTTGGAATGAGAGGGAGAGATTGAGCTTCTTGAGAGAGATCTGTGGGAGTTCACTTTTTTGTTCTGTTCTGTTCTTCTTTTGTTTTGCAGAACTGCAAAGGAAGAAGAACAAAAAGCAGTGACGTGGGGAGTTACCCCACATCACTTAACTGCCCACTCCCATGCAATTTTGCAGGAGAGTTAATTATTAATTTATATATTAATTAATATTAATAAATAATATATATATAATAATTAATATTATATATATAATAATTAATATTATATATTAATTTATTAATTAATCATATTAATTAATAAATATAATTAATTATTAATCCAATTAATAATTAATTAATAAATATATATATAAATCAAATAAATAATTAACACTTAATTATTTATTATAAAATTAGAATCATATTCTAAAACATTTCTCTCGCATAACCTATAGTTGTAATGTACATCTTATGCACATTATTTTTAACCTATAGTTTTAATATGAATCATATTTATATTAATTTTATTTGAATCTCATTCAAATAATTTCTCTCATAATATATAGTTTTTAATTTATAATTAACTATATATTATAATGTATCAATATACATATAATCCCTTAAGTAATTTGAACAATTCAAATTCTTCCAAAAACTTGATCTTCATTTTACCCGTTATGAGCTAGCAAGGGGACCTAATGGACCTACAGATCCGAAGCTTCAACGATGCAAGATTAATCAATCAAACTCATTGACCGAGTTAATCTAGATTCGTTAACTACGGGTCATTCTACTAAAGACCCGCAGTTACACTCTTCTCACTGCAGAATGTTTTCGTGTCCATGGATATATGACCATTAATGACGAGTCAATCATTCACGAGTGTTCGTAACTCAAGTTGGGTCAAATTACCGTTTTACCCCTGAGTTACATCTTACTCCTTAAACACCACTGCTCCTCTAATGAACAACCCGGTTATGGTCCAACCAATAACCGGAAGT